CCTTTTAGTGAGTTTCATTTAATATAACTTTCAATTTAATATTTTCTGTGAAACAAGATCTCCTCCGTGTACCGTGTGTCACAATGTTAACCCTAATCGTACCACGTGTTTTTAACGAATCATGTGACTCTCAGTCATTTATGAGAATAAAAGGAATGATTAAGATGTTATTGTTTCTTTATAGGGCCCAAATTTTAAAAGCTTAAGAAACCTTTTGGAAAGGCAATATGAAATGATCAAAATATTGAAGTAAAGAGTTCGAATGTGAGTCGAATCACATATATTCATATCTACCTTAGATAAAATAAATGGAACTGCAATACAGAATTCAAAATAAAAACTTGAAATTTCAATGAATAAAAACTCCCAACGAATTCAAAACAAAAACTTGAAATTTCAATGAACAGAAACTCTGAACGAAAAGCAAGAATCGCAAAATCTGATTAAATCAACAAAACAGTTAACAAATGGTACAGTAATAAGCACATAAATATAATTCACATCTATTCATATCTACATTAGATAAAATAAATGGAACTGCAATAAGGAATTCAAAATTAAAACTTGACATTTCAATGAATAAAAACTGCCAACGAATTCAAAATAAAAACTTGAAATTTCAATGAACAGAAATCAGGAATCGCAAAATCTGATCGAATCAACGGAACAGTAAACGAATGGTACAGTGATAAAGAAGAAATGTAGCAAATTTCTAGCAACACCGTAGATTCCACCATGCGTATATTGACCGAAGGGAAACACCGGATAGCTGATAGCCCGGTTAGTCAACGATGATGGAGACGTTTGTTTGCGGCTGCCTGGAAGACAGTCAGCGATCCTGGAGCGCGTCCAGATCCCGATCGACCCGGACGGGAATAAAAATTTCATATCGTACGCAACGCCGGGGCTCGTGTAAATATTTAACGAGACAGGAAAGACAGGGAGCACTGGTCGCGGGCTTAGCTTCTCATTCCTCCCTCGCGGAGGCCACGTAAGCCCTGTTATCTGTCGTAAATACGTTTCGTCGCCGAGGGCTCGACGATGTTTGCACCGCGGCGTACGTTTTTACGACGGCGAACCGACGGCAGGTGGGACCGCCATTGATTAACCCTTTCCACTGCTGAGCTGACTCTCGGTCGTTCGATTCGATATAACAATTTACAAAGTTTCATATATAACATTAACCAGTTAACCCTTTTCGGACGAAGATTCTTCGAAGTTGATGTTTTTCGTGACAGCCAAAATTTGGATGTGCGGAAAATCGAATAAGTTTAGGTTTCTTTAAGATTCATTGAAATATTTAACCCTTTGAACTCTGTAGGCTCCAATACTGCACCAGTTATAATATTAAATATTTTAATGAATCTTAAGGAAACTACCCTAAAATTATTCGATTTTCCAAACATCCGAATTTTCTGTTAAGAAGGAAAATTTTGGTTTTTGGTTTTTCTATTCAAACAATTGGTATATAATTTTGCTTCGTCTGCTGAAGATTTTGTACATTTCAAAGAATCTTCCGCAAAGGGTTAATGAAAAGTTCGAAACAAGTCATTCGAATTGCCGGACGATAGTTTCACTGTCACGATCGTCCCAAAGCCGAGCGACATTCCACCGAGCGGGTTACAGAGCGGAATTGTCTAGCGCTAAGCTGAACTCTAATCGAAACTCGCGGCTGGTTATGGGCTAATAGCCATCCGCCGCCATTCCGCCGCTAATTTCTTCGATTGAAACCGCGTTAAGGCTAATTCGCTTCGCGAATAAACGATCGTCGGGGGTGTCCATTAACGCGCGGTGCCAGGTGTTCCGTGTCCCGCGGATCATCCACGGCGCGATTCATCGGGTCATTTGAAAGGCGGTTATCTACGTCGGTTTCCTCTGCGGCCGGGCGCACGCGAATGTATCGTTATTAAATATCCAAACTGCTTTCGCGTTAGCGTCACGTCGCGGGCAATTACACCGGTAATTCAGTTGCGCGCGATTCAAGGGATAATTAGTCGTTTGACTGTACGCTCGCCGTGTCGCGCCGCGCCGCGTCGCGGGGGCACACTTTCCGTTCATTGTGTCGGGGCCATGGTGAAACCGCGCGCAATTTTCGCCCCGCGAGCACAACGCCGCCGCCGCGACGACGTTTCCGGTGTTTTTACTGTCGTTCCCGAGGTAGAACCAACTGTGGAAAAAAACTGGGGAAATTACTCGAACCGTACGATAATGTGGCACTTTATTCGACGATTGTCGCCGGGGTCAATTGTTCCTTTGCACGGCAATCATTTTGTCGTTTGCTCGTGTATTGGGTGGTAATTTCGTTCTGCGCGATGGCGTGTCGGTTTGGATAGGTTGATATTCACGTGGAACTTGTCGCTAATGATTTGATTGGTTTCGTAGGTGGTTATTAGGTGATCGTGCGATGGTAATGGGTATGATACGTTTTATTCGATGATTAATAGGTTTGATTTAGTTTTTTGATGGTTTGGAATTGATTGTTTCTTTGATTATTAATTGTTTTGTACGGGCACTGGTATTTAATCATTTCATTTTGAAGTGTGGTTTGAGGATTTAATTTTAATAACTCGTCGGTGATTGTATTGTTTGAGAATTGCGTCGTATTTTCTGTTTGTTTGTTATCGCTTGCGTTTGTTTGTCGGGATATCTGATTTAATTTCAGTGGTATGTAATTTTATCTGTTATTAGTAGTAATGTCTGTTGTTAATGATTTTATCGGGTGCTAATTATTTCGACATTTATGCGCGCACTGTTGCCTGAGAGATTTATCGCGATTCTTTTCGACGCTTCTCAATGAAAATTATTTATTTTTACCCCGGAACATGTATATCGCCAATGATTCCATTACTCGCAATAATTTTCATTATTACGGTTCTCCCGTGCTCCAGTCGGTCCGTGTGTAAGCATTGGATTATTTGTTCCGACCCGAGAAAATATAATGTTAAATTCCAGCACTCCTGTAACGTCACGTTTAAATATTAATTTCAATTACGGGGAATATTTATTTCCGATATTCCTGTAATTTTCGAGTTATTCCAGCATGTATCTATACTTCATTATATTATACTGCAAATAAAATATTTATTTCCCTGAACAAAAAGTCGTACAGTCAACTAAATATAAGTGAAGAATTAAATAAATAACCAAAAACAAAGTTTTTCCTTACAATTTCTGTACTAGCCATTTTATCAATTTATTTCTTATAATAGTGCTTTACAATAATATAACTTTGAATATCCACAGTGCTTAAAATTTAGCTCCCAATTATCTTTCTTAAACAACCAAGATCAAGAAAATGCTTAAATTCCTAATCCTTATTAATATCTGTAATTTTAGCAAATTTAGAAATAAATAAAGAACCACAACGAACAACAGTTTCGTTACTAGCCATTTCATTAATTCATAACAGTATTCACAATAATATAACTTTGAATATCCACAGTGCTTAAAATTTAGCTCCTAATTATCTTTTATCTCAAATTCCTAATCCTTATTAATATCTGTAGTTTTAGCAAATTTAGAAATAAATAAAGAACCACAACGAACAGTTTCGTTACTAGCCATTTTATTAATTCATAACAGTATTCACAATAATATAACTTTGAATATCCACAGTACTTGAAATGTAATTCCCAATTATTCTACTTAAACATCAAAGATCAACCCTTAAATTCTCCAGGAAACAATACCCCTGAAACAAAGAAGAATTCACATCCTCCCCATTTGTTAGAAACTGTTACCCTCAACGTGTCCTTTTCTTTTCCAAGCGCAACAGGGACCGCCACAGATACCTGGTTCACGAGGGAACAGCGCGCTCGTTAAAACGTTCTTATTGTATATCCCCTCGAAGGTTGGACGCGCCGAGTTTTTCTCTTCCGGCGTTTCGAAATTACCTTAATGTAACGGTTCCCCGGGTTCGGGGAAAGTTTCCTCGGCCACCGGGCGCGCTGTCGCTGCCCGGCCAACAGCCCCGAGGCATTGCTTAGCAATTCGGGGGATGGTAATTCACTTCGTTATAACTTACGATGGAGTTACTCTCCGAGGCACGGTTAAGTGGAAGTACAATGATGTTGTTAATGCTGTTCCTGAACGCTCCGCGGGCTTCAATTTAACGCCGGATAGCTATGGAAATTGATTTAAAAGAAAAAACATCCGGCAATCCCCTATTGTCTCGGGAAAAATCGAGGGAGGGCGGATATTCTGTTTCACAATTCTTCGACTGTCAGGGAAATAAGATCTGTTCATCTTAATGTTTCATACTTTTAGAATGTATTATTCTGATCTCTTATATCTTATCTAATCTTATATTCTATTAACCCATTGCCTTATGATTTCATTTCATAGGTGCATTTAGCTATTTATCGTTAATAATGTACTAGTAAAAGAACATTCCATGCCCTTTCTATGTTTAGATTTACTATAAATTATAGAAATTGTTAATAAGAACAATAATGTTTCATTCAACCCTCTGCGGACGAATGTCGGCATTTTGCTGAGATCAAACTTCCATGTTTGGAATGCCCAGTTGTGAACAAATGATTTAACTATTCGAACAGCAAGGAATCGGTACACAGTTTCCTTATTCTCTATGATTTAAGCATTCAGTGTTTAATTTAGCAGAATCTGCAAAAGGTTTTGTATACTTTCAACAATCTTCGCGAAGGGTTAAACTTAATACGGCTCAATGATATTTGTGTTTGTTAAACCATATTAGAAATTATCGCCTTGCGTCTGACACGATATTGTAAGGCAAAGGGTTAATAAGGAAATAATCGGGAAATGGAAGAGATAAGCAACAAAGAGATGGAAGATTCTGTGGAATTTATCTTTCGCCAATACTCGTGTGGATGTTAGAGGCAAATGAAATAATTTGCGTAATTCTGTTCGATAAATGTTAATATGTTGAATCTAGTGTGTTCCTTGTAATTAATAGGTAATCGATTGGTCGTCGAATAGGTAAAAATAACGAGCCAAATCGGCTTTGTCAGTTAACAGGCTAATTAAATCCTTAATCTATGCTTGCAACGTGATTGTGGAAGTTGGGGAAGTATTTAACAGTCAGTCTCTGTAATCTCCTTAGATCGAAATGTGTAATACTCTGAGGAACTTTATGATGGAAGTCAGTTTATAATACACCTGCCGTTAATTTGTTTTAATAGAATCAATATCGTAGCGGAAAGTATTGAATATTTATTTATTTGTTTTCGATGTCGACGGAAGTTTTCTGATGTATTTCTGGTGTTTCTTTCCTAATTAAAATATTTTGGTGAAATTACTCTTGGGGATCTTGGAGGAGTCAGTCATTGGTTAAGTGACTAAAAAATTGTTGTATTTGGACGACGACGAATGCGAAGGGATTAAAGGTCGTCATCAGAGTCCTGGAACCGCTCGTACTTCGTCACTGATTTCTGGAACGTCTCGTAATCCTTCTTTTCTTCGTCCTGCCTCAATAATTTCCCTCGTTCCAGAGAGAGATATATCAACAGCGGACAGTAGGCGATGTTTATTAAGCCAATGATGCCCATTACCCATTGGAAACCGATTCCTTTCACCAATTCACCGCCCAAGATTGGCCCTGAAACAATGAATCTCCTATTATAAAATTCTTTCACACGAAACACTTCGTGTTTAACACGGAAATATTCTGCTGCTCTCGTTCAACGATTTTTCAAAACGTAATGCAAAAGAACCCTCATTCAGATAAAAAACTATTCTCGAAAGAATGTACGATAGAAATGAAAAATTCGTATAATATAAGAAGACATTAATGCTACAGTTTAACTAAAGATGGTTCAATCTTCTTGCCAAGAATCTAAAATGTGCAGTCAGTAATAAAATAGAACTGTTGAATAGGTAGAATAATAGTTTCTACTTATACTAATGTAATTTTCAGTCGTACAAAATTCGTGACCACCGGTTTCAATCGCGATTTCAATCTCGTTTCCACGAAGAGATTCAAGAGAAGCATAAATTCCCGCGGAAGCTCTCTTGGTAATTGTTAGATTCTTCTATGAAACGGTCAATAGATTGAATTCAGTTCGTATTGACAAGGGACACCGGGGAATAACGAGGAGCGTCGTCGGTGTATGATAAGGGTATCGATTCCCGTCGAAACGGATGATAATTTGATAACAACGACGAAAAAAGAAGTGATGAACAAGCACGTCGACGGTGTCGGTATTGTTGAACGGGAAAATGGCGTACCGAGGGAATAAGCCAAACTGACGGCCACTTGTTGAATCGAGTAAATAGGACCGTAATCGCCATTACGGTCCACCAAACTAGCCAACAGAGGCACCAGAGCCGCGTCTGCCACACCGATGCCCAAGCCCATTCCCAAATGCGGGACTATTAGCTGCGACATCGTGCTGGCCGATGGAATCAAAATGGCGCTCACGCCGACTAGCAACATGGCGAGCACCGCCAGTCTGCTGCGTCCGTAACGATAAGCTATCATGCCGAAGAAATTGGTGCCGACTAGATAGCCGACGCTGTCCGGAATAAACACGGTTCCCAGCTGCCATTTCTGGAAAATGAAACGCGAAAAGGGCAATGAAATGTGTTGCTCTAGACGTGTTGCTGGGAAAAATGTGTTTGCGTGATTTTTAGTTTACTGTTTGGTGTAAATTTCAGTGCAATGTTTAGTCTACTATTTGAGATAAATTTTGGTGCAATGTTTAGTACACTGTTTGGTATAAATTTTGGTGTAATGTTTAGTCTACTATTTGAGATAAATTTTAGTACAATGTTTAGTCTTCTACTGTTTGGGATAAATTTTGTTGTAATGTTTAGTTTACTGTTTGATATGAATTTTAGTGTAATGTTTAGTCTACTATTTGAGATAAATTTTAGTACAATGTTTAGTCTACTGTTTGGGATAAATTTTGGTGTAATGTTTAGTTTACTGTTTGATATGAATTTTAGTGTAATGTTTAGTCTACTATTTGAGATAAATTTTAGTACAATGTTTAGTCTACTGTTTGGGATAAATTTTGGTGCAATGTTTAGTTTACTGTTTGGTATGAATTTTAGTGTAATGTTTAGTTTACTGTTTGGTATGAATTTTAGTGTAATGTTTAGTCTATTGTTTGGTACAAATTTTGGTGTAATGTTTAGTTTACTGTTTGGTATGAATTTCAGTGCAATGTTTAGTACACTGTTTGGTATAAATTTTGGTGTAATGTTTAGTCTACTATATAGTATAATATTCAGAGTGATGTTCAGTATAATATTTTGTATATTTTGTAAAAAATGGTTTACTGAATAAGAAACATCGCGTGTTTATTCGGTACCTTAGGCTTAATGTAGGTCCGCAGCCATATCGGCAGGCATGGCTCCAAAATGGCGATCGGCGACGTCGAACACCAAATGGCACCGAATATAATAAGGATATGTGGATCCGACAGCAAATGAGTCCACGAAGTTTCTTGTTCCTTATGCTGCGTACACGTATCATTTACATCTGTTAATTTACATTTCATTTGATCTACAACGTGTTTTAATCACCTGAGTTGGAGTCTCGATATCCAATGCTAGAATTTGCAAGCCTGATGAACATAGAAATTTGATTACCAATTCTCCACGAGAAACATCTACAGAAAACTATTTTATGACAAAAAATATTTCCAATTTACTCGAAGTACCGAAATATAATAGACAAAAATTGTAATTTTCATTATTAATTACAAATCAACTTGTGTCTGTCTATTGTGTGTTCATACATTTATATTAAAAGTTCGATGATTCTTCGATGATAAAAAATACGTACATATGGCGACGACGATGAAGCAAGAGACCAATAAGAAAGGCGCCATTTTTCCCTCGAGGTCGTAGAGCACGGAGCCAATCGGATATCCGACTAGAACACCAAGCGCCATGCTCCCGAGAACGAAGCCCATGATCTTTGACCTCTTGTCCTCTTCCGGGTATTGCGAGGCGACCAGGGACATCCCGGAAACTCCGATACACGCGGACGATATACCCTGAACGCTGCGCGCGAGGAATAAAACCTCATAGGTTTGACCAAACGCGAACACTGTGAACATTTGAATTTGAACACGCATGTATCACTAACGGAACATGTAATTGTTGAATTAGAATTCACTTACCTCTGATCTAAGCGAGCTTTACTGCAATTATTATCAATAACATTTTATTATCGCCTATAAGCGCTAACAATACACCAAAAGCAAATTTTTCAAACGCCAACAGTAGCCAAGAAGTTAATTTCACGATGCAGTGAAATACTGAGCTAATAAAAAGGTTCTGATATTTCCCTTTTCATTGTAGTAGAATTTTTTATAGTAATTAAATTTCTTTTAATAAAATAAATCTCCGTCATATTTTATTAAGTAAAATATTAATTTTTACAAATTCTTAAAATTTTTTTATTTACATTGTAGTATACAGATAAATATAAGAAATTATAATCGAAAGAATGATAATGAACCCAATTAGTATTTATCGTAAATAATGCACTAGTAAAGAAGAAATTCCATGCTCTTTCCACGTCTAGAACTACTCTAAACCATACAAATTGTTAACAAAAATAATCATTTGGACTCAGAAGAACTACATTTATATTCGTTAAACAATATTGGAAATCTTTTGTAGGCTCAAATCAGTTATGAGTAGCTTTTTAATTAGAATTCTATATATTTACGACGAGTTATAACTTAAATTCTTAAAATCGGAATCCACAATTGCAAGCGCACTTGTCTATATTAAGATCGAATAAAAGTGAAGGGAACAAATGGTAGCTTACACATGGCAGCCAACAGGAGACTTATATTTCCAAGGAACAATGGCTTGGTATATCCAAAGGTGCCGGTCAACGTGCCCACGGCAGGGTTCAGTATTAATTGTACCAGCGCCTTCGAGCTCAACAATAATCCCACTCGACCGTTCTCATCCTTCTCGGCGTTTGTCGTCGAATTCCCGTCGATGGTGCAGAGGTAATCGGGAATAATCGGCACTGGAACGTGTAAATCCTCGTGAACGGTCTTTTGCGCTCTTCGCGGTCGATGGCAAAAGTCAACAACGTGCGCTCCAGATCACGCGCCGTTTAATTGTCTTCGACAGACTGCGCAATGTTCATTCGGTTGCGCATCTCCCTGTCCAGTTTCGACAGAATTATTTCCCCGTGAACCTTAACCCTTCGCGCTCGAAAATGTTTCGCTAGAAATCTTCAACGCTTTCTGATCGGACAACACTTTTGAAACTAACTTATGGGAAATCGCGCGTAAACTGAGAAACGAAGAGATTTTATTTTAATAATTCATATATTGATGCTTTCTGCAGGATTTAATGTTAAATATCGTACTTCATGATTTTGCTGTATCGAATTCACCCTTAAAATGCTGAGTGCTATAGGGAGCCTAGACAGTATTTTTCCTTAATTTCGTAAGTAATTTTTTGTAATTTTTCTTATTTTATGTATTTTCTTTTTTTTCATCAAGTATTGTGGACGATTTGTCTATTCTAAGCACATTACCGTTTTGGACCCCACGTTGTTATTAGTGTTGCCAAAAAGTATACAGCATTTTAAGGGTTAAATAGTGACTGAGAGTCACCTGTCGAGTGCAAAGGGTCAATTTCAGTTTCAACGTTGATTTCGTTCATTAGACGAACACTAAACTACCAGCGGTGTCAAAATGACTCATTCTTGATGTTCTTGTTTCGCAATTATTAAAAAGGCAGACGTTTCTGTGAGAAGTTATTTAAGAAATAGATTTAGCAATACGCAAACCGAATTGCGAATCGATCGAAGTCTCGATAGATGCACTTTTCGAGTTTCTAGATTTTCGAGCAGTCATTTTAACTGCTCGGTAGGTTTAATGTTGAAATCGGTGTTATCTAGTTGCTATGTAATTTCTTATTTCAACGTTCATAGAAGCTTCTACAGAGTCGAGTTCATCCAGTTCGAATTGAAACTGATCAAATTTATTAAATTTCAAAATAAACACGGAAAATTCGAAGGCTAGTGTTCAGCGTAGACGCGATGTGCACAGCACGCCAGCTTAACGAGCTGTTCCGAAGTTTGGATGGGTTCATCACGCTCGACCGTCAATCAATTGCCAGCCCAAGTGGCTCATTGGAATTATGGTCACAACATCTTCCTTAATACTATTCAGGTTTACAGCCGTTTCGTAGTTTCGGAGTTTCGAGATACAGTTGCGAGTGGAAAAAGAAATGAAATACAAAAGAAATACAACGAGTGAGACTCGTGGTGAAGAGTTTCAACATGATTCAACAAATATATCTATTAATCAATACATTCGAATTCAAAGTAAATACTATTCCTCTGCAATCAACCATTATACTTAAAAGGAAATATCGGCATAACATATGCTTAGAATTTTTCTCTTTTTCCAATAAATTATTAATGACAAAGTAGCCGTATCAGAGTTGAGGAAGAAATCATAGGCCAAGGGGTTAAAGCAAATATTCTAATCGAGGAAACCGTCGCCGAAATAAGCGCTGGTAGCGAACGTGTTAAGGACGAAGCAGTATCGATCAGAGTCGAGGCAGGGATCATAGGGCAGGGGTTAACCCGATAGTCATATTTACCAACAACAGTGAGCAGCACGTTATCCAAGAAGAGGCTCAGGTAGACCAAAGCGACGACGATGGTCCGCGAATTCCTCGGATTCCCGAGCATCGTCACGGTTAACGTCGCTGCGAGCCCTTAATTAGAACCAGCCGGGAAGCACGCGTGAGATCACGGCTGCTGGAAGCTCCCGAGGACATGCCTTCTTTCCCTTCTTCGTTCAAGAGCTATCCGTGGATCCCTCCCATCCTCGTGGCGAATTTGTGCTCTAAAAGTTTCTCCACTAGAAATACGGAAAACCCACGAGTCTTAATCTTTACGTCTATTAACCCCTTGCCTTATGATTTATTTCTCAACTACGCTCGATACAACTACTTATCGTTAACACTAGGTTTACGGGCATTTATTGTACACTTCGTTCTATTATTCCTAAAAGATTTGATGCTCGTTTATTTAGATTGTGGAAACTGGAGATTTGATAGTAATTCGGGTACATGTCAGTGCGATCGCATCAATCAAAATCGTAAACATTTGCAAAATAATATTTTTAAAATTCAATATGCGTCCATTTGACGCGTTCTGTAAACTTAGTGTTAATAATTCATTGAGAAAAATGAATATTCTGTGCAATGTTTGGTATAAAGTATAGTAATTGATAACGAAAGAATAATATTTCATTTGAACCCACAAGAATTCGGTAATATTTATGATTGTTAAACTTGGTTCAAAATCTTCGTCACGAGTCTGACACGTTATTGTAAGGCAAGGGGTTCACAGAATTACCGTACCGGTCAAAGTGACTGGTTTCGGTTTTCTTGTTTCGCAATGATTGATATAAAATTTAATTCGAATCGATTATCCATTCAACCCTTTGCACTCGACAATATTTTTCATTATAAACGTCCATTATTTCCCTGGCGAAATATTAACAATATTATTTGGAACTTACACGAAGAAACATCTTACATAATTTAACAGACAGAATTATTTTATTTCTATGCTTCATGTGTTACCTTATTCAACATTTAATATTGAATTCCCGAGTTCATAATTTTGCTGTGTTAAATCAAACAGCGAATGAGAGTCGCCTCTCGAGTGCAAAGGGTTAAAATATATTACATAACAATATGACAAGTTTTTCTATGTATAGCGATATAAGTTGACCAGTGAAAATTGCCGATACGCAACGTGTTAATTGTTCAGTAGTTTCGATACGAAGTACAAAAGAAGGAATAACGAAAAATATACGAACACCTTGCTATTCTAACCACTTATACTCGTTTCCTTCGTGGTCCTCGAAGGGTTAAATTCGCCGGAGAACCGTTCCTCGAGTCCCCGGTTACCGGACACCGGAAAACGACGGGGGTCTACGTGACTGGAAACCGCGCCAGTCTCGATCGAGCTTTTATAGCGAGCTGTCGAAGCGTCGTCCTTGCGCAGTGAACGCTTTTTCAGAATCCGCGGCCGCGACGTCCGCCGCGCGACACCCTCGAAACCTCGGGGCCCCCTTTTTCACGAGCGGATGCACCGGCCGATTTATCGCCGGTTACGGCCGCGCTTATCGTCGCTCGCCAGCCGACTCGTCACGAGCTCCTCTCGCGCGGACTCATGGCGCGGAAGTAAAACTACCCCTTGGACCGCGAGCGCTACGCCCCTGGCGCTCGCTGAGGGATTCAAGACGGAAGATTTCACCGTCGCACTGATCGCCTTGCAATCTAGTTCCCTTTATGGTTATTTCTTTTTTTTTAGTGGTGGGTTTATCGTTTTTGGAAGCTCGAGGTGTTGTAATTGATATTTTTATGGGGGACACGGAATTGTCACTGTTGGATTGGTTTTTGGGGAGTAAGGATTTGAGATGCAGAAACAATTGTAAGTGGTTGATTTAATTGTGAATGTTTAGCGAATTCGAGTTTTGTGGTAGCCAAGATTCAGAAATGTTATGTTATATTGTAGATTGATAAATATTATGTTGTAATATTATATATGATAAGTATGTTGTACTCTTATATTATCGGATTCTTTACGTGTTTTGGTTTTCTTGGTAATTGCGATAACGTTAGGGTAGTTTCTTCGACTTTATCCACTGATATTTAATATTGTAAATGGTGTTGTGAACTCTGTAGAAGGGGTAATAATGAATTTTAGGGTTGAGGTTATTTAAGACTGAAGCCCAGCGGAAACTGTATATCGATTTCGGTTCTAACTTTGTCTTCCTGAAGTTGAAGCAAGGGATCAATATTTTGTGTTTAAGAGTATCATTAGGGAAAACGCTTAATGGTATTTAATCTTTAACACGTTCGGTGCCATATGTGCCACATATGGTACACGCTAATTCCTGTAAGAAAATATTTTTAAGGGACGCATGGTTACAAAGCAGCGAGAGCATAAAGGAATAATATTGAAATATATGAAAATGATCAAAAGCTTGAATAGAACTTAATATTTTATTAAAACAATCAATACGCTCCACAAAAAAATATATCCGAAATATCCGTGCCACGGAACGTGTTAATAAATGAATCAATAGTATCTGTTCTAAATAATTCGAAAATAGAATTGAACAGAAATGATTGTTAGTTACATATAAAATAAACCTGACTCAGGACCCTCGGATGATCAAAGAAAATCTGAGAAAACGTTGATTGGGTATTCAATATTTGTTTAATTTATCGAGGATCTCTTGGTCGAACGTGTCCAGGACGACTTGCGGGTTCCCAGTTACGGCACTGTTCATCGATATTCATCCGCAACATACACCTGTGCCCTGATTGCGGAATTACGATCGACCATAATGCAATTCTGGAAGAGAACACGCGAAATTGGTTCTCCGTTCCACGAGTTCTCTCTGTGTAAAAGGAACCCGGTGAGGCTGGTGCTTCGTTTTCTACTTTAATTACGACGATAATGGCGGGCCGAGCTCGCGTCCGCCATTTTGCGGCACGTGGAATTGAAAGGGCGCCGGTTAAATGGATCCTGAATTAAACTGCATTGTCGAGAAACAGTTTCTCTTTTCAATTTTTTATACTTCTACGAGACGAATGCATTGGTACACTTGTCATTCGATGACAATTCGAGTATATGTATTAGATAGTTTATTAAATATTAACTCTTTGTCCTATATAGGTACTAATAGTTAAGGTATTTAATAGTATAAACACTATATAGGGCAAAGGGTTAACACTTAATAAACCAACTATCATATATACGCGAATTGTTGTCGAATGACAAGTGTATTAATGCATTCGTCTCGTGAAGGTATGAAAAATTCAAAAGGGAAACTGTTTCTCGACAATGCAGTTTAATACAGGATCCATTTAACCGGCGCCCCTTCAATTCTCATTATACCCTATGTAGTATTTATTCTATTAAATATCTTAAATATCTTAAATATATTTCTAGTATTAAATATCTTAACAAAGTTGAAGAAGCTACCTTAAGATTATTGCATCTACATTTAAATTTTCTCTTCAAAAGGAAAATGGAAGATCTAAGAAATGTTATAATAGTTTTTTCATTTTCATTAGGGATATTATAAAATTAACTGGTGTTACTGGTAGATCAGGCTGCAGTGCTAAGGGTAATTATATATTTAGTAAATTAAATCACTAAAAGAAATTTCACAGAATAATTTATCGATTTATATTTTACATTCATACATACTTCCCAGATCGTCTTACATTAATCAATAATCAGTAATAAATACAACTCCACTGAACATTAAATTCGAAATCGCAATCTTTCTCGTTACAACAGCGAAACATATGATCTCTATGATCCCTTTCTCAACTCTGATCGATGAAAATACTTCATCACTAATACCTTATTGAAAAATAGACGAATTCTAGACACATTCCACATCTACGTTTCTTCCGAACTATAATTATCGATAACAGAAAAACAACGTTTACTCCGAATTCAAAACGATTGAGTAATTACTCATTATTATTAAACTCTTTCCAAAATCTTCACCACGAGTCCGACACGTTACAAGACACAGAGTCAACACCGTTAACACTAAAACTACTAGACATTCGAAATGATCCAATCCCGATTTCTTCTTCCTGCAATAATTAAAAAGATAAATATTTCTCTGAGAAATTATTAAAGAAACTGATGATACGCAAACTGAATTATAAATCAATTAAAATCTCAATTGATTATTGTTCATCTGAGACAAAGTCTCAACAAAAGTCTTGAAAAATTTGTAGAGGAATTTCAGAAATTCAATTCAACTGTCCAGTAGCTTTAATATTAACACTAAAACTACCGAGCAGTTATATTGACTTTTTGAAATTTCTCAATAGGAACTCCAAGAGTGCGTCTACTGAGACTTTAATTGATTTATGATTCAGTTTATATTGCTAAATCAATTTCTTCAATAAATTCTCAGAGAAACAGTTGTTATCTTTTTAACTCTTTGAACTCTGTGTGCTCCAATATTGCACCAGTTATAATATTAAATATTTCAATGAATCTTAAAGAAACCACCCTAAAATTATTCGATTTTCCGCACATCCAAATTTTCTGCTAAGGAAAATAAAAGATCGAAGAAATGTTATAGCATTTCTAATTTTCGCTAGGAATACTATAAAAATTAGTTTCAGTTACTGATAGATCACAGAACAACCTGAAGTGCTAAGGGTTAATAACTGCGCAAACAAGAAATCAGGAACAGGTTATTTCGACCCGTCTGGTAGCATTAATATTAAATATTCAAGCGATGAAAAATATCAAAGTGAATCGAACATCTCGAAGAACCTCGAGGAATCAATAGAAAAACGATATTCCGCGGGGCTCAGTGATAAAAAGGAAGAAAAGAAGAAGAAGAAGAAGAAGAATAAGAAGAATAAGAAAAAAAAAACAGGAAAATCACTGTAAGACTCGACCTCTCGAACGATGGGGATTTTATTTAATCGGGAATAGTGTTCTCCACGCGGCGCGTGACTACAATATGAATACACCGGCGGATCAAAGTCTCAGAATCGCGTTATCCTGGTCGGCTCGTCCTCTTCGTCCTCCTCGCGGATCGTCGCCTCCATTTGCGTCAGTCTGGGGCTGGACGGTCCGATCGGATAGATATCGTCGTGGCCGCGTCGGCTAACGTTCTCGACGTACACGTCCGTCTCGCCGCGACCTTTCTCGTCTTTGGTCCTCCGCTTCCGGTGGCACCTTGGCCGCGCGTACGTCGCGTCGACGTTGCTCCTTTCCGCCGTGCTCGTCCTGGACTAAAAATGGTAGTTCTTCAGTTCTTAACACTTCGTCTGCGAGCCTGTTAATCGTTTGCACTCGGAAATTTCGAACTAGAAACATTTGACAGTTTTTTATGAGACAGAGACTCGAAAGTAATATAGAAATGTTTTCGAATATCGTTTAATTCAGTGAACTGTAGTGATTCAATTTAGTTGGGGGTCACCGGTGACCCCCACGGCATTCGTGTTAACCCTTTGCACTCGGAAATTTCTCACTAGAAATATTTGACAGTTTTTTATGAAGACGATATTCTTTGAAACTAACTCGAAGGAAAGTATATTGAGCAAAGTTATTTTGTTACGATATTTTACATAGGCGTTATACAAAGTTCAACGTTAACCCTTGAGAATATTACTTTTTAGAATAAATTGTAGATTCGAAGATTGGCTCATGGAAAGAATCCTTTGTGCAATTCGACCTGTTAGACGTATCGAACAGAAACCAATCAGAGATACCAAAGAAACCAATCAAAAGGACATCGAAACAAAGGACTCGAGCTTCGTCCTTTATAAATGCCATATGAATAATTGAAAGGGTCGTTCGAAAGGATCCTCGCGCAAAAATCTCTCGTTCGCCCGTCGCGTTCGTTCGTCGCGTGCCTACGAAGCGTCCTAGCTACCGTCCTAGCTACGAAAAAATGCAGCCGCGAGCGCGGGAAAAACGTAGGAAAAAATCTCACGTCCGCATCCTCGATGCAGACTTGCGGTATCGTGTAAGAGTTATTCACTTCTCGCATCTCCGTGTGGAATCCGTAGTTATTGTAACCGGGCATCCGCCTCGAGTCGCTGCTCCTGTACTGGTTCAGGTACTTCTGGTTCGGGCTCGAGTTCCCGTAGTAGTTCGGGTACGCGGACGCGACATGCAAATTCGTCATACTTCCTCCGGCGGCGTGCACGTAATCGTAAAACGGCCGGTTCTGCACAGAAAGGGTTATCTGAAGCGAAGGGGGGACAAAGGGTGGCGAATAAACTTGAACGTTGAAACGATATCGTGCGGCCATTTCGGTGTGCATTACTGTAGTTCCTTTATTGGTTTTATTTTGGCAACGGGTGGTTGATGGAGATGTGGAGTTGGTGTGGTTGTGGAAAGTCTTGAGGGAATCGTGTTTGTACTTTTATTGTGGCAGTTAGATTTGAATAAGAATGATGGGATTTGGGACGGCGCAGACGGTGGGGGGATTATAGGTTTGCAGTAATGACTTTTGTTGGTACTGTTCTTTGATTGGTGGAGGGCAGGGAGGTGGGGTATGGTGGTATGTTGGGTGATTGAAGGTAGAGTGATAGAATATGGAATAATGGGACATTAGAATGATAGAATAATGTTATAGAATATGGAATAATGGGACATTAGAATGATAGAATAATGTTATAGAATATGGAATAATGGAATATAGAATAATGGAATATAGAATAATGGAATATAGAATAATGGAACGTTAGAATAATAGAATAATATTATAGAATATAGAATAATGGAATATAGAATAAAGGAATATAGAATAATAGAAAATTAGAATAATGGAATAATATTATAAAATATAGAATAATGGAATATAGAATAATGAAATAATATTATAGAATATAGAATAATAGAATATAAAACAATGCAACATAAAATAATAGATCACAGAACAATAGAATATAGAATAACAGGACAAATTCATTTAAGAAAACTTAAATAAAGACTAACTCACTGCTTCCTAAAGCTCATGAAACAAAGATATCGAACACAACAGCACGTATTCGTGTTTCAACGGAAAATGTCTCAGCCGGAAGCCATACAAACATTAGTGTAATCGAGAGAATACGTATTTAAGTACATTCCTGACCTGTCTGGTGACTGTATTTATCCTCGGATCGGCGGCGAAGTCGGTCGATCCGAATCTCTGGCCGAACTCCTTGCCCCTGGCTATATGGGTGACCATGTAATACGTCCTCGGTATCAGGACACCGATGATAATTAAGTACGCGGTGGCAATAATGCCGGAAGAGACGACCGTGTCCCGGCACTCCGGTTCCACGAGGATGAAGCAGGTCAACCAGATCGCCCAGGTTATCAAAAGGCCGATAGAGGTGCCGAAGAAACACTTTCCCTCGCGATAATTACGTGGCAGCCGGGCGATGAAGAAGCACACGACGAACAGGGTGATCAGGAGGAATATATCGTAGCCTGGAAATTCGATTGATCGTTGCGGCTCGCTTTGTGTGTACAGTAATTATGAGACATCAGATCGGAATATTCATTAAGAGTTGACAAGTATTATACGTTTGTCAATATGTAAATATAACGTTATATATTTCGATGTTTAATGTACGTGAATATTGATTTTCATTGAATACCACAAGGAAATTAATTTTAACCCTCGAACTTAGGTTTACTTCGACCCAGATTTTCAAAAACTTCACTTCCCACCTAGTAGCTATGAACTTTAGTAGCTATGACTATCACGGATCAAAACAAACAAATATTTTGCTATTATCAATGCATTATCTTCAAATGAAATTTCCACTTGAAGTAGAATGGAAAATTTTGTTGCATTTCTTCCAAATTGTCGATAGAAAATATTACACGAGCTTAGTTGCGAAAGTAAATAGTACGCCAAGGGGTTAAGAACTTAGATCTTTGGGATGAAATCAATTGGAATCGCGAAGAAATTGAAAATCACGGGATAATTGTATAAATTAGAGCTTACTCGAGTTGTCGCTTGATCAAATAAAACTCGATAATCCGAATACAACACGTACAAATGAATGTTTACAAGACAAACTTATCCGTCAAAGATTCCGAACGTCAAACAAGATCATTAAGAACGTCTTCTCTTCCAGCATGAAGCACGCAAATGTCATCGTCGAGGCGACGTTGCCGATTAATCGATCGTTCCACACTGAAAGACTTCGCAGAAGTCTTGGAAGCTTCGCAAGAAGCAGAACAAAGAACTTACCTAGAAGACCGATGAAGACGAGGCTCCTGACGATGACGGCCGAATCGTCGCTGCCAAGGACGAAGTACATAACCGACATGGCGACCTGCACGCCGAACATGAAGAACACCATCAGCCCTTGAAGGTAGCCGTTGATGTGCGCGGTGAACACGCCGCCTTTAGAGAATACGAGGAAGAACGCCCTGGACAGCATCACGGAGAAATCGATGCCGAACGCGAGCGTCGTCACGAGGATCTTCCTCGAGTTGAGGGGTTCAGGGCCTACGTAGCTGTCGTTCATGCAGAACGGGACCACCGTCAGCAGCGTGAAAATGTTCGCCAGTATCAGGACGATCGTTAGCGTCGGATTCCCGTCGAGAACGTCCTCGACGATGAAACGGTAGATAATGAAGACGGCAATCACGCCGCAGGCGAACGCGCCGCACACGACCACCGTCAGGAAAATTGCTATCCAGTTGCCCGGCTTTAATAAACCCCTGTCGAGTGTATCTGCAACAGGGGAGCAGTCCAATGGGACATTGTTCTGTGGGCATTTTCTTCTTTGATTGGGGTGTTTGTTATTTTTGGGTATGCGAACATCTTTGTGCGTGTGTGTGTGTGTTTGTTTGTTTGTTTGTTTGAATTGGAGACTTCTTTGTGTGTTTTTGAGAGTTTGGAAT